GCATGGAACTTCATAATTTGCCCATCTACATTGCGCTTGTTGGAACGACGGTAGATCCTCTTTACCAACGGTCCGTGCAAATGCTCGAACATGTTGGTGCTGAATTCAGTCACATGACCCACCCGGCGAATGGAGTCAATATAGTGCGACATGAGATGGGTTTTCACAAGGCACCAGGAGGATGGCTGCTTTGGATAAGCAGCCTGCAACTGCTCAACCAGCCTGATGGGAGTGGGAGATGATAGCACGTGCAAGCACATTAGAGTCTACAACAACATACTACAGCCTACTTAAGTTATTTTACTATCATGGTTTATCAGCAACATCCTCCCAAGATAGGTTACTGCAACAGCTTAGGTGCCGTAGCGAGGCATTCATGCAATGCACAGAGATTTACATGCATGCTACTAGTACCAGGAGGTCTTTTTCTTGAGATCCCGCAGGGACCGCTCGGTGTGCACCATTGGCTGGGAACACAAGAGGTACCAGCCAAGATAGGCACGAACGGCATCCATCTAGGGCTGGCGAAGCAGACCAGCAAAAACAAACACCATGGCCTGCAAATTAAAACAGTGCAAAGAAAGGAGGGTGAGCGGTGGGTATGAGTAGTTGGGAGATGCATGACAAGATGAGCACACAGGTTTGGGTGCGGTCTTGATGAGAATAAGAGAATGGAGGATGAGATATCTAGCTGGGGGTGTGTTGTAATATGGATTCGGCATGCTGTTTCTTCATGGTGCACCCTATCGCACAAGATGATAACATACAAGGGCTTTCATACCTGCATGACGGTCCTGTGGTCATAGGCCATGACACATGCTCTGGTCTCGAAGTAGGCGCTTTCCGGCAGGCGCATGTGATTCAGGCGCGTGCGGTCGCGAATGAGTGACTAACGCCTGCCAATACACATCAGTTCAACGGCGGCACAAATCCAAAAACGTGTCAGTATGAGGAGGAGAGTTATGCTTGGAGTATATGTGAAAAAGAGCAGCGAATCTAAACCCCCAAATCACTGACCTGTCCATCTGCTTCACGCGCTGCTTCTTCATCTTGCGCACGATAGCCACAATGTGGCCCATGATGCCCAAGTCCGCCTGGTGCATGATGTCAGGCATGACAACGAGGTAGGGATTGCCCCACGCAGTCCCTGGGATATCCCACTTCCAGAGCACACACTGGAAATGGGGATGTGGTGGGTAATGGAGGAGAAATGTACTTGAGAGACCTGGTAAATAACATGTGGGGTGAGTTCAATGGGGCAGAGCACATCTCCCCCATTACTGAGCAACACGGAGTGCGTAGACTGCACAGTAGCCCGGGAAATAGGTCGCTCACCTCAACCGAGTAGGTCGAGTAGGTCTTGCATGGGTTGTATTGGCTTGATGTCAACCCAACCGCCTCATTCACGATCCATTGCTGCTGTTCACGCGTGCTGTAGCACGGGGGTGTGAGATGGGATAAAAAGGTAAAGGTGGTGAGTTTATGGGTTCAAGGTTTAGGGTAATATTCAAACGACTATGGATTTGAAGGCGCGCAGTAGGCATGTTTGCTCACCTTTGCAGCATAGCAGATGCTGCACGGCATACGAGATCCATGCGAGAGTGTACAAGTGATCTTGCCACTCTCGGGGTAGTCACACTCCCAGGCGTACAACAGGGGCCGCACGGTCTGCCAATCACCGGAAGGGTCCCTGAGACGGAACCCGCTGCAGGAATAGAGAGAGTGGCAACAGAAATGCGTGACGACGGCTTTGTGCATGAACGAAGAGGGGAAAAGGGGAATGCTATGTGATGAGACACTTTGCGTACTCTGCAGGTGATTGGGTGACGAAATGGCAAATTGCAAACCGAGTACAAACCTTTCCATGCCATCGAGAAGTGGCTGCAGCACAGTGATGACGCATTGCTGGAAGAGCATCATCTTCTCCACGGCAGACATTGCAGCATGGGGGATCGGAAGGAGGGCAAGTAGCGTGTGCCCGGCTTTCCCCCATCTCTTGGCCTGTAGGATGTTGCCAAGCGTCATCATGAGTGGCCACGCCTTCTTCCGGCCGTTGTTGCTCAGGGTCACATCTATATATGGGATGATTCCCCCCACGACTTCGGACCATCCGAAGTGTTCCTACAATGCACGAAAAAATGGCAACGCAAGACACGGTGAAGCATCATATGTCAGAATGTTATAATTGTCTAGTCTGCAGTGGGGTACTCTATGGTGAGTACCCCGGGGGCCCGCGCGCCGCTTCCCCTCCCGTCACCCGTCACGGCGCCCCTGGGGGCCCGCGCGTCGCCCCCTCCCGTCGCCCATCGTGGCGTCCTGGGGGCCCGCGCGCTGCCCTGCCCGTCGTCTGACGCAGTGCCCCAAGGACCCGTGCGCCGCCCCGCGCGCCGCCCCAACTGCTGCCTGCGTCTCTGCCCCGCGCCGCACGCCCGCCTCCTGCGTTGGGGGTATGGGGGTGGCGGGTATGGGGGTGACGGGTGTGTGAGCCGTCCCCTACTCCTTCTCCTCCTCCGTCTCCCACTACTACAGCTGCTGCTGAGGGGGGTGGATGTGTGGGAGCCAAGGGAATGGCGCTAGGGGGGTGCCGTGGGAGTGGCGCTAGAGGTGCATAGGGGGGTGTGTGTAAGGGGGTCTGCGACAGTGGGGGAGGGTCGAACGGAGGTAGCCGTTGTGGAGCCAGCAGCGCCAGTAGTCCGGGAAGGTCGTGTCCTTGCTCCGGTAGCCAGCGAGCCCGTTGCGCCAGTTGCCCGTGGGTCCGTTGCTCCAGCCGCTCGTCGTAGCCGCGGAGCCAGTTACTCCAGTAGTCCGGGAAGGTTGTGCCCTTGCTCCGGTAGCCAGTGTGCCAGTTGCTCCAGCAGCTTCAGCCGTCGCCTCCAATCTTCTCTCCTCTCACAGTCCATCCTCCTCCTCACATGCCCCCTGTGACAGCCTCTAGCTCTGCTTGTGCTTGTGAACTTCTTATGCGACTGTTTTCTGTGCTGATCATACCCCACTTTGCCTATGGGGGTGTGTCAGAATGTTATAATTGTCTAGTCTGCAGTGGGGTACTCTATAGTGAGTACAGCCCAAATTAGGGTTTGCTATATGTATCCTATCTGCTGCTAGTGCAACCCCCTCTTTCCTGTTTCAATTTTCTCGCTACTGTTTTTGATATCATATACACGCATCATAAACAACCACAAACCATTAACAATTACGGGTTGCAAGGCAGGACCAGGAGGTCAAACACCACCAAGGCAATGCTATAGCCAGGCGGATTAAACCAGTTTCATAGCATGTGCGACAAACATGACACACTCCAGATGCTCCGGACACTAGAGCGAAGCGAAATCGGCATGAGCACGGATCATGTTATGGCGGGCAAAGGGGCAAAGGAGCATCATTCCACCACGTTCCTGTTTCTGGCATGGAATAGCGACGCTCGCCTGTGTCAGGGTCCTCGTCTACACGCGCCTTGAGCTTGAAGTCGGGCGCGTTGTTGGGATGCTTAACAAATGCCTGGTATGTGGTAGCCAAAGCATGCAAGAACAGGGGCGTGGTTAGTGGCTTGGAAGGTGAGTCCAATGTCATACAAACATAAGGAGCATAGCACGAAACAATCACCACCGGGGACGAGCAACAGTGTTTCATATACGACTCTAAAGCGTCGGCTTACCTGAGCCGAGTTCTGGAAAAGCAGTCGCTGTGGTGGATGATCCTCGACCTCGAAAGTCGTCAATGACCATCCGCGATTGAGGCCTGCCAAGTGCTCCATCTCGAACCGCTCCAGCTCCTGATCACGAGAGGCGCGAGGCCGGGCTCTACCATGAGCTAAATCAGGCCATTGATGTCGACCTCCGCCATCCCATTCCACCGTTCAGACGTCGAATGAAATGCAGCAGCTTCTGACCCAGCGGATTAAGGGGGGTGGCATCATGCTGTCCGCTGACAATGGTTGACAACGCGGCTTGACTCCCGTGAGACTGAACCTCCGGATGTTCAGTCGCATCGGATGCAGGTGTATCTGGTGGCGGTTGATGATCATCTTCGGGAACACCTTCGTACACAGCGGAGGGTGTATCATCTTCGTCTGCTTCAGGCACGCGAGGAGGAGCTCCTCCACTGATATTGTTGGAAGCGTTTGACGGTGTAGACAAAGCGGGATCGGCGGGTAGTGCTTCAGAGAGTATATCGTGAACGAAAGGCAGTACGTGAAGGCCAGCAGATGGGCGCAGATTGTGAGGGCCTTGCCACGGCGGATAGGCCTTGACAAGGGGTCCTCCGTAAGTCATGGCCGCCATAAACCTGCGCGTTGGGGAACCATTGTTTGCAGAACTCGTAGACAACGCCTGACAATTAGCCCATCTAGATACAATCTCTCTACACTTTGAGGAATGGTGTATGACGCTAGTAGTGAGATTGAAGCATGAGGCTTCATAAACAGCGCATTAGAAGAATGCACAAGCTGCTGGAGGGCCAATGTCAAGGGCGGTCGTCAACAGGCGACTTGGAGATATGCACGCCTGGCACTTGGACGTGGCGCCAGTGTTTTCTAGTGGCTAGGTAGTTCGAGTCTTGCGGCCGTGAAGTCTCATGATATGGACCACGTACAGCACGACAGTGCGCGCTTCCTACACGTGCGTTGCTCTCGTTGCAGTGGACACGACGTGAAAGTGGCCGCCTATACTGCAATATAGCCTGCAGCGTAGCAAGCATGATGGCGCACGATCGTGCCTTGTAACTCTAAAACTTGAGTTTTTGAATCGTGCGTGGTAGTCAACCGGACAATGAAGAGAGGGAACAGATCTGAGCGCAATTGTGATTCCTACGAGTTTTCGTTATAGGTGACAAAAAACCAGCAACAAACAGGGCGACCAATGTTGCGCATACCCAAGTGCAAAAATACAATGTACACTAACATCTTACGTTTATAATATTCTCACCCTTACACTTTTGTGTACTGCACCTTGCCAAGCACCCTACCAACACTGTTCTTCATACCACTGACTTTAAGCAACTTGTTAGAGGTCCACGCAACATTTGAGCCCAATCTTGTACCATACAACAACGGTGTCACCATGTCTTGCAAGCCAAACACCTGGTCGCTGCATCGTCCACCTGTGGAGATACGGTTGTCGATAACCTATCGCCGCTTGTGCAATAGCCCTGTGCTTCATACCACTGCCCTTGTGCACCTTGTTGAAGGTCCACGCAAGACTTGAGCCCAATCCAATACCATACAACAACGGTTTCACCATGTCTTGCACACCAAACACCTGGCCGCTGCAACACAGTTGTCGATAACCTATCGCCGCTTGTGCGATAGCCCTGTGCTTCATACCACTGCCCTTGTGCGCCTTGTTGAAGGTCCACGCAAGACTTGAGCCCAATCCAATACCATACAACAACGGTTTCACCATGTCTTGCACACCAAACACTTGGCCGCTGCAACACAGTTGTCGATAACCTATCGCCGCTTGTGCGATAGCCCTGTGCTTCATACCACTGCCCTTGTGCGCCTTGTTGAAGGTCCACGCAAGACTTGAGCCCAATCCAATACCATACAACAACGGTTTCACCATGTCTTGCACACCAAACACCTGGCCGCTGCAACACAGTTGTCGATAACCTATCGCCGCTTGTGCGATAGCCCTGTGCTTCATACCACTGCCCTTGTGCACCTTGTTGAAGGTCCACGCAAGACTTGAGCCCAATCCAATACCATACAACAATGGTTTCACCATGTCTTGCACACCAAACACCTGGCCGCTGCAACGTCCGTCTCTGGAGACACAGTTGTCGATAACCTATCGCCGCTTGTGCGATAGCCCTGTGCTTCATACCACTGCCCGTGTGCACCTTGTTGAAGGTCCACGCAATTCTTGAGCCTAATCCAATACCATACAACAACGGTTTCACCATGTCTTGCAAACCAAACACCTGGTCGCTGCAACGTCCGTCTGTGGATACGGTTGTCGATAACTGACCGCTGCTCGTGCGATAGCCCGGTGCATACCACTGCCTTAATGCACCTTGTTGAAAGGTCCATGCACGATTTGGGCCCGATACAGTAACTTATCTCAACCGTTTCCCCCTTAAGGACTAGTGATTTTCGTGCTTAGATATCGTCGAACGTCCGTTCACCGCTGTGGCATTCAACGTGTGCTTAGTACAAAGTCACTATTCTCGAGCCCAATCCAAACCCTTACCACAACCCTATACGATTACATGAACTATGCATTAATTGAAGTTTGTATTTGATCTTGTTTTGAAGCATATTTTGCTTGTATGTGCAAACATGTTCATCTCGCATCAGCACTGTACTTTACAGGTTTGAGGGTACATTCGCGGTAGTGGTGCAGACACCGCTGGGGGATGTCCCCGCACTCTTGATGCGTTGGCAATACTGGTTGGCCGACTTATCTCAAACGACTCCTTTTGTGGCAAACGCACTAGCCAAAGCGGTACATTTGTTATCGATGTGGCTGTGATCGGTACACTGTCCGATCTGGCTTGATCCGATAACAATCATCTCTCTCGACTCGCAAGCCACCCCAACCACCCTCGTGCCCCACCCACCAGCTTTCGGCACCCTCTGGCCCACAACTTTGACGTTGCTCGTTCGTTGTCAATGGTGTTTCCGGATCACCCGTGACTCACCAGTCGACTAAGTAGTGGGCCTTAGCTCTGTGCTTAGTGACTACTATTTCAGTTACTGTTGAAGCAGGGATTTTCGACGCAAGTTGATGGATTAGATCGTCGAGTCTGCCTTAGTTACATTCCAGTGCGGTACGCTTAGTAAACCTGCTCAAACGTGGCGCACGTAAAAAACAGCTTTCGTACTACAAGCATCACGCGTGCTACCCGACAAAAGGTAGAGGATGCACAGGCCAGACGACGCGCAACAAGCAGGCAGTCTCATCAAACCAATCGGGATGGTGGTGGCGGATCTAAAGCTACTAAAGCGTCCGCCGCTTGTGGCAGTCAACAAAAACAAAAGTGGCGGGGAAAAAGGTCGCACTTGGACAGGAGAAGTCCGGGAAGAAGGCGGAAGACAAGAAGAAGCAACCAACGCCACGCAAAGGGGTTACTACTGTGAAAAAAGCTGTGAAAGCCTCTGGTGGAAGCGATCCCAGACGTACTGACTACGACACCATCGGCGCCAAGGAAGGTCGGGAGCCAGGGAGCGTGAGTCCTGCAGTCCCGTCGGCAGAGAGAGAGGGCTCGGCGACAGGGGGAAACCACGGCGACGCTACCCGCGACGAGCATGTCGCTATCTAGGAGTCCGAGGAGGGAGCATCGCAGCACCATCTGGCGCTGCCCCAACCAACCGTGGTCGAAATTTCTGCGGCCCTGGTCGAGAAGGACAACGATGGGGAGCGTGAATTTGGGACAGCGCGAGGCGCCAGGGAAGCAAGTGGCAAGGCGACGGGTCATGCATTGGCAAGCAGAGTCGACCCGGAGCACGTAAAAATGCTGGCGAAAGGAAGCAAGCAAGCAGCGAGGGGGAAGAGGTCGGGAAACCACGAAGAAGACCCTGATGATTCCGAGGAGGAGGATGAGTGGTATGAGGGGGACGAGTCAGGGCGCGGATGATGAGGAAGAGGATGAGGCGGAAGAGGAGGATGAGGACGGGATGCTGAGGAGGAGGACGCGTGTGTGGAGCAGGAGGAAAACGACGAGTATGATTATGAGGAGGACAAAGAGGAGGAGGAGGAGGGGGAGGAGGACCAGGAGGAGGAGCAGGAGGAGGAGAGGAGGAGGAGGAGGAGGAGGAGGAGGAGGAGGAGGAGGAGGAGGAGGAGGAGGAGGAGGAGGAGGAGGAGGAGGACGACGACGACGATGAGGACGAGGAGGGGGACGACGAGGATGAGGATGAGGAGGACGAGGAGGATGAGAGGGGGACGACGAGGATGAACAGGAGGAAGAAGAGGATGGCGGGGGGGGGAGGAGGAGGAGGAGGAGGACGAGGACGAGGAGGAGGAGGAGGAGGAGGAGGAGGAGGAGGAGGAGGAGGAGGAGGAGGAGGAGGAGGAGGAGGAGGATGCAGAGGAGGAGGAGGAGGAAGGGGCGGAAGAGGAAGAGGAGGAGGATGCGGCAATGAAAGGCCAAGGAGCGAGAGGAAGAGGGGGGAGTGGTACACGGCAGGTGGGGGGCCGCACTCGTCATTCCCGAAAACACGAGGCAGTTGACGCACTGTGTGGCGAAGCTGCTGGCAAATCGAAGGCGCGTAAAGTGAAGGTCGAAACTGAAGGGGGTCCTAAGAAGCAGGGGAGCCAGGGCGCAAAACGGGTTGGAGAAGGAAAGGGTGGCCACGCCAAAGGTTGCAGTGGGTTCGGCCAACAAGGAAGCTGCCGGTAAACGTCGCAGAGGCCGCGAAAGCACCATGCGGAAAGGTGGCAACGAGCACGCGCAGGCAGCTAGACCGAAGGGCCAATAGCGAGGTAAGCGCTGAGGCCCATACACATTGCCTGTCCCAGTCTGTGCTAAACCGTCCCTTTTAACACCACACATCCCTCGTTTTGCCCCTGCAGGGAAAGGCAAGGTCGACGAATCTGAAAAGCAGGGTAAGGCCACTATTTCCAACACATCACCCTGCTAAACCCGTGATAGATTCAAATTGCTGTTCATTTGCATGCATGCGTGCCCCTGTATTGGACGTAATCGACTCCAACTATGTGCTCACGCTCCCTATAACTCTCAGCCCCTCGTGTTACAGGCATTGGGCCAGCGGTTAGCGTGCAACGGATGCAGCTAACGAAGGGGGCCGAAAGACCGAGCGTTACCGCTATCCACAGGAGCCCGGCGGTTCTTCACGCCTTACAGCAGCCCGTCTAAAGTCGCTGCTATAGCACCTGGCAACCCTAAATCCCCAATGCAAGGCCACGTCGCGCACTCACCACTCCCCTCACCCTCGTACCCATATCGGCAGCTCCACGCATCTCCTATCCGGGGCAGGGTGGTCTCCCCCCTGGCCGATCCTTCGCACGGGCATCAGCCAAGCACTTCTGCCAATCCCTTGCCTGAACTGCCCTTTTCCTGCCAGCGTGATAGAGTGAGGGCACTTGGCCAGAGGGGACATGCTGATGGGGGACTGCTGCGGAAGACATGGATCCCCTTGGCCAGAGGGGGGATTCTTCACACCCTGGCCCCAATCCCATGGTTGCCCTAGGTGAAAGTGCGGAGCAGGAGCAGTTTGTAACACGGGAGGAGTTCCAGGTGCTCTGGGCTGAGATGTACGCCATGATTGCTCAGCTCGGCCTGCGTCGTGGAGGACCTGCTAGTTATGCCAGGGGGGACGCAGTGGTGCCTATAAGTGGTACCCCCCCCGCCGATGAGTGTCGTGGACAAGGCACAAGTGCGAGTGTTGCTGGAGACCAACTCATTCCCGGTATGTGGCGGGCCAAATGGGGCAGGTTTGGGGAGACGTGGCTTGAGGTAGGAGGGTGTGACGTGGCAATGGGGCCGGGTTGTGGATGACGTGGCGGATGCAGTGGGGAGTGACGTGGCGAAAGGTGAGGGTTGGGGATGACGTGGCGGCTTGGAGGGCACACAAGCGCTGACGAGCACCTGGGACAAGGCGTGTAAGGTGGGTCGGGGTGACGTAGCTTGGGGTATGGGGTGTGACGTGGCAATGGGGCCGGGCTGTGGATGACGTGGCGGATGCAGGGGGGTGTGACGTGGCACCCAAGGTGAGGATTGGGGATGACGTGGCGTTTTGGAGGGTACTCGAGCGCAAGCGTAAGACACGACGAGGCGTGTAAGGTGGGTGAGGGTGACGTGGCTTGTGGTAGGGGTGTGTGATATGGCAATTGGGCTAGGTTGTGGATGACGTAGCGGATGCAGTGGGGTGTAACGTGGCGAAGGTGAGGGTTGGGAATGACGTGGCGGCTTGGAGGGCATACGGGCGTTGACGAGCACCTGTGACAAGGCGTGTAAGGTGGGTGGGGGTGACGTGGCTTGGGGTATGGGGGTGTGACGTGGCAATGGGGCCCAGTTGTGGATGACGTGGCGGATGCAGGAGGGTGTGACGTGGCACCCAAGGTGAGGGGTGGGGATGACGAGGGAAATGTAGGGTACACGGGAGCGGCGCATGATGGTTCGAGGCGTGTAAGGTGGGTGGGGGGTGACGTGGCAAGTTCAAGCAATGTTGCTAACCACCATCCTGAGCACCAGCAGCCACAATCATAACAGGTGATTCTATCTCCCTTGTCTTATCGTATACCCTACACCCCTGCGAAGAACAAATCCTACTTAGTAACGTCTCAGCTCATGTTTCTGAACCCACCGGAAAAAGTTTAGTATTATCCTGCACCAAAGGAAGTGTTCTTGTTCTGCTTGTCTGCAGAAGGGCTCGAGTCAAGAAGCTGTTGTAGTTGCACAATGACAAGTCAACCATGGGAGTCTTCAAGCACCAGATGTCATCGACAAGGTCAACAATCAACTCCACCCTCAGGCCAGCAGCATATACCTGCATGGGCCATGCTGATTTCAGCCATCTTGTAGATAGGCTGCCTAGTGAGCAACGCCCAACGAGGTGGTTCAATGACAAGGAACTCCTAGTCGAGTATAGAGATGGTATGTGAAACCCGAAAACACCATATGCCCCACCAAATGCCAATTAGCACCTACATATCACCGTGCGATTTGGCACAACCTCACTTTCATTCCCCCACTTGTTTTCTCTGTACCCCCTTTCCAACCCACGCCAGGGGTGTTGACTTCATGAGTGCTGCAGGAGTCTAAGTTGCCGAAGTTTCGTTTGCGACCCCCCCCCCCCCCCCCCCCCCCCCCCCCCCCCCCCACCCCCCCCCCCCCCCCCCCCCCCCCCACCTCCTCATAAACCATCCACCCAACCCTACACCACACTGCAGATCGAGTGGCCCCTTCTGTAGGATAAGCGTCACAAGCGAATTAGTAGCCAGCCAGAACAAAACAGGCCAGACTACTTGGAGTGGTGCGAAAAGGTCAAACAGATGATCCACTCTGCAGTCGAGGAACGGAGGATCCACCAGGATCCGGTTCAGATGCGTTCATCTTCCCAAAAAAGTTCCTCATCGACGATGGCGACCTTGGAGAGGTCGTTCTTGCCCACCGGGTGCTTGCAGGGCGGGGCATTGTAGGATATGACCTGGTGCTAAACCTGCTTGTTGCTGGAATTTTGAATAATGGTTGTTGTAAACACTAAAAAAAATGTTATTTTGAAAAGCTCAAAATAGAACAACCACAAAACCAGAATTCAGTTTTGAATAGTTTGGTTTCCAATTTGCAACAAAACAGATTTCGCCTGAATGTTATCCGGAAAAGCTCGCGTGCCAAATTGGAACTTGACCCGAGCCAAACCTTGTCGCGCGATGTGTCGCGGAGCTCCTATCAAATGATTCAAGCCGTCGGTCCAAATTGACTCTGAATTTTGTTACGCGAAGTCAATCGAAATCAAAATTCATCCAAACTTGGCATAAGGTTTTTGTAATGTCACTGACCTAGGTGAGCGGCCTAGCTTTTCTGTGGTCTTCTTCGCTGACAAAAAGGCCATGATTTTCTTGTGACAGGAGCCTAGAATAGAGAGCAGAGTGAAGCATATTCGCAGCTCCGAGGCACGCTTGGCTTTTCTGGCCACGAAGGACAGCACTACCGTTATCTTCGCCAAACTCGTGATCATCATCGGTTCCGACAGGCCCTCACCTGTTAGGTTGCTGTTCTTTGTTTTGCTTGTACTCTTGGACTGGCCTTGTGGTCGTTTGTCCCATTGGCTGGAGAGAAACGTGTTATCTCAGTGGAGACGCACGTCATGTTGTTGGTCCATCTCGGCACCGACGCCATATTCTGGAAGCTGAGCTTGAAATTGGCGTGGTGCTACAACATGCCCAACGCCTCATCAGGGCCTCACTCAAGGAGGAATTGGCCCCACTGTGGATCGCCTGGCCAGAACCAGAGCAATTGGCCAAGATGGGCAGAAACGTTAGGTATGAGAGGGGGGGGCGTCTTTGAAAATAGGAAAGAGTTTTACAACATCATCCTACACCTAACTTGCTATTGCAACGGGATTATCTTTGACTACCTAGCTGGGTGGCCTGGCAGCGTGAATGATGCACGTGTGTTCTCCAGGAGAGTAGAAGCGGGTGACATTGGAGACTACATGGTTGTGTTCGATGCAACATACTTCACAGCTACACTTGCGTCCCATGTCACGCTAGTCCCGAGCATGCCATGCATCACTGCAAAACAAGTGGAACACACAACGAAACCGTCAGAGAATGATAACCGAGCCAGTCAATGGTCGCCAACGCATCCTCGATGTGCGGATAGATTGTCATGCTCGATACGTACGGGAAACATTCGGCGGCGCATGTGTGACGCTTCACAACATCGACCTCACGATAGGAATCTGTGAGCGCATTGGGCCTCCCAATAAGTGCCACCGATGGTGGCTTGAGGACCTGCAGCCAACCTACGACTTACCCAGCCGAACGTGCACAGTTTCGACTTTATATGAGGAGATGACCGTGATGATCTACGTGTCCAACATTATATATGTCTGGTTTGTTAGGCTACAGTGGGTTAGCCTGTATGGGGTACACAATTCTAGGGTTAGCTATTTGTACTGATTTCTCTGTTAGTTCAATCATTCCAGTCTCGTAATCTTGACATGGTTTCAGAGCAGGTCCTTCCCTAGGACCGTTTTTTTTTTTAAGGGCCCACCTAACTACCTACATACCTATCAAGCGCCCCTAGTGCGCCTCCTATTGCGCCCCTAGTGCGCCTCCTATTGCGCCCCTAGTGCGCTATACTTTTTTTTTTTTTTTTACCGCGCGCGATCTGCTAGCCGCCCGCGCGCGGCCTATTTCGTGCGCGCGACAAGCCAGCAGCCCGCGCGCGGCCGTTTTTCGCGCGCGCCTAGCTAGCCGCCGGTGCGCGCGGCTCTTTTTCTTCGAGCGCGGCCCGTCGCGCTGCTCCGTGCTGCGCTCGACCCCCCCGCGCCTTCGTCGCCGCGGTCGGGCCTGCAGCAACAGCCGCGGCAGAGACTGCAGTCGCGGCCGTCGCAACTGCTGCAGCAGCCGTCGCCGCCTCCCTTGCCGCGGCCGCCGCTGCATCTACAGCAGCTGCAGCCGCCGCATCTACTGCAACAGCCGCCGCTGCAGCTACAGCAGCAGCAGCCGCCGCATCTTCTGCAGCAGCCGCCGCTGCATCC